AAAGAAAAAGCACATCTCGGTCTCAAACAATGAATTTCATATTCTGTCATCACCGTTAATTTTGTTGTTCAAATGACTCGACCGCATCTGACAATGATGGATGTGTTTTCATAAATCTTTTGAATGTCAATGGTATATTATCGTGAACGTAAACAACAAAATGAATTCCCTGGAAATAAGATGAGATGTACCTAATCGAACGGGATCGATAAACTTACTTGTTGTGCTGCTGCTCGAACAAAACCTCTATTAGCTGTCATCGTTACTGCACGTAAATGATCTCCGGTACCAAATATTATTTTTGTTCTAAAGAAATATACAAAAAAACTATATTAAATAGAATTTCATGATACTAATCAAACCTTGGTTTTATTTTAACACTTTCTTGTAGAACAGCCGATCTTTCTGACAGACAATCAGGGACAATAGTAAGCTAAATTGAAATGATAATAATAAAGTCTATATTACAAGTATAGATGTGTGAGATCAACATTTTTTTTAGTTTCAGTCCTGGATTATGAGAGATGGTTTTCAGTAAATAAATTCGGTTTGAATTAGAACAATGTACATAGTGTAGGTTCTTATGAGCTTTGCATATTATGAAAAGATTTGCTATCAGCTTGTTGCTATAGAAAATACTTTATTTTTTCCGGTTTTTCAGTAAAAATGTATTATCTCAGCAACAATAAGCGAATATTGAGACAGTTTTTCATGCTATTCATGGTTTATGAGAACTTTCATGATGCAAATTATCTCGACGCACAAGCAATCTATTAGTTGGGGAACTTTTCACGTTAGAGAAAACGAATTTTAAGTTTATTGACATTTAACTCAAAAGTAATCGTCAATGCTTGTGTTTTAATTTATTCAAACGATGAGTTTTCTTTCCTTTTTTTTAGTCAGAGCTTCTAAATTTCGCTTTGATTGATTAACTAATAACATCATTCGATAAAAAATACAGAAAGCTTAACTACAATTTTCAGGTTCGGTTCGAACAACTTTTTCTCACGTACCCCAAGTCTGACAGATTAACATTCGACTGTCAGACGTTATTCGACTTCATATCATGATCATAGACCAAAATCCTTTTAAAGATATTTTAGTTTTAAAGGTATCTAATCGTAGCCATAATATGAAGAAGATCGGTGCCTAGCAGTTTATTATGTTTCATTGTTAGTTCAAATTCGATACATTCTTATTTTTGGAGCCTGATTACCATAACCAAGACTGAAACTGATCCTACACATCTCTTATTATGAAAAGTTCATATACTCGTTTAAATAGTTCTTCTGCTCGTTTTTTTTCATTAGGTCCACCAACTGTACTAACAATTGAATTAAATTCTTCATACGCTGTTTGACATATAAATAATTCTTTTCCTATTTATAAGACACAAAAAAAAACGAATATAAAATAAAATAAGAAAAAGAAAAAAAACAACACCTTTCATATAATTCTCTAATTTCGGTGCAAGATGTTCAGCTCGTTCTAATTCAGCTGGTACTTCAAGCCATTTACTTGGATATCGATAAATATGACCACCATGAGTTAATTCTGAAACAAGACATATCAATGTACTAACATCAAGATTTATTTTAGTTGGTTCATGTGATGACATTAATTCTAGATTATTATTAATAATTTCATCATCATTATCATCATCAGTTTCACTATGACTTTCTTCATCACTATCACTTGAACTATAATCATCAACGATTTGTAAACGTTTTTCAACATCTTCATTAACTTCAACGATTGAACCCTTAAAAAAATTTGATTTTTTTTTTTTTTGTAAATTTAAATTATACTGTATTTAATGGATAATTACTTTGACTATGATACCATTTTTTTTCAATAAATTAGCTAACGGTTCTGTAACACCTTGTACAAAATAAAAAACAATATCTGGTGTTTGATAATGTATTTCATTACAACGAGCTGTATCAAGATATTGTCTCATTGATATAAGAATACTTCGTTGTCCATAATGACCATTACCCTAATTATTTAATTAGAAAGAAAAAAAAAGTCATGTCTATGATAAATATTCAAAAGATCTTACTTTCCAAATAAGATGAAGTGCTTGTGCATTTCTAGCAATTACTTTCATCCATGTTCGACCTTCATTATAAACTAATTCACAAATAAGTAATTGAGAACGACTATCTTTAAATGGTACTAAAACCTATATTAATTAATTGTGTTTTATTTTTTAAAATATGTGTTATAATTTAACTTACTCCATTAACATTTTCTGGGCCAATTTCTTCAATTTGTTCAAGAACAGCTCGTAAATGAGTTAAATTCGAACTTTTTAAATGATTAACATTAACATCACTTGTGTCAGTACGAAGCTAAAAATTAGACTTTTTTTTTCAAATAATTTTATGCTTATTTTAGAGATAAAGATATCTAGAAAATTTATCTGTTTAACTATGAGGACTAAGGTTCTCTTTTTTTGTTATGTTACTAATTTACACTTATCATATAGATATGCGAACATTGCACTAGATTGATCTTAACTATCAAGGTTAATATTTGTATATTAACTACTAGTTATTATTTAAGCGATTCTTATCTGCAAATATATGTAGAACTGAAAAGTGAAATTCTTCAAATATTTTGATTTTATATATTTAATTAATTAAATTTCTATTTCCATTTCTATTCATTAAATAATTTATTTGTTTTATATGAAGAATAAAAATTATCTTAAAATATAGAATAAGACATAAAAATACATACGCGTTTTAGAAATCTATCTTCAGCTCGAAATTTTCTTTCAAGTTTACCAATTCCAGGTATTTTATTATAGTTTCGACATTTTTCTATACATGATCGAACGTCATTTAATAATGTATCTAATATAATAGTAATATTTGCATCATCATGGTTAGTTTGTATTAAATCTGTCATCTAAAAGAAAAAGAAAAACAAGTCAACGAGAAAAGTCAATTTTTTCAAGCAGAATGAAAAAATCCTATGATAAGCTGACACAGCACGTTCTGTCAACGTGACTCGACAAATATACATATATATATATAATTTCAAATTTTCGCATAAAATATCAAAATGACTGTTTATATTATCCATGAAAATGATGTATGGCTACCTCCATTTCGAAAGGCATTTGAGAAACTACAATTGCCTTTTATCGAATGGAATTTAAGTGAAATACATAGTTATTCATTAAATAAAGTGCCTGATGATGATGCAATCTATTTTAATCGCATTTCACCATCTTCACACACTCGTAATCATCGTTTCTCATGTGAAATTACAGGTCAAGTTCTCGATTATCTTTCATTACATTCATGTCGAATTATTAATGATCAACGAGCTCTTTCGCTTGAATTATCTAAAGTTAAACAATATGTTGAATTAACAAAAAGTCATATTCGTGTACCACGTACAGCATTCGTTGCAAGTGCAGCATCAATTAATCAACAAGAATCAACAATAAAAGAAAATTTTATTGAAGCTTTAAAAAGAACTGCACGAGAAAATTTTTTTAATGAATCAACACAAATATGGACACCATTTATAAGTAAACATAATCGAGCAGGAAAAGGACTTGGTGTACATCTATTTACTGACGATAAACAACTTGAAAAACAATTCGAAAATATAATAAATGATAATAATGATGAAGAATTTTCTGTCGATGGTATTTATCTTTTACAAGAATATATTAAATCACCACGACAAGTAATTAATCGTGCAGAATTTATTGGTTATAAATTAATGTATGTAATTGAAGTTGATACACGACAAGGTTTTCAATTATGTCCAAGTGATGCATGTCGAAAAACAATCGATAGTAAATTAGTTAAACAAAGTACTGATGAAATAAAACATGGATTTAATATACGATCAAATGATTCATTTACCGATAATGAAAAAAAAGTAATTGAACAATTAGAAAATTTTTTACAAGAACGACAAATTGAAGTAGCTGGAATTGAATGGGTTGATGATGGAACAAATATTTATGTTTATGATGTTAATTGTAATACAAATTATAATGTTGCTGCTGAAACAAGATTTTTTGGGGATATGTATGGGACAGTTAAATTAGGTGAATACTTTAAAAAACAATTACGAAAAGATTGATAAAAAAAAAAATTAAAAAGAAATAAAAGCTAATAGTTGATTCGAGCTATGTTTATTTGTTGTTGACGTTCTTGTTATATTATCATCAAGTCTTGACAAGCGAATACACACGCACATACACACGAAGACAAAGACAGCACGAGAAAAAAGAAACAAAAAAAATGAATCAGCTTGCATCGAATATAGAGCATAAAAATCCGAATACAAAAAAAAAGAAAAAGAAATGAAGCAGTAGAACAACGAAGAATCGTACACGCTCGTTGATTTATATACAATTCTTTTTTTTTCTGGTAACAAAAAAGAAAGAGGAAGAAAAAAAAAAGAGAAAACATGAAGTAATTTGAACGAACATACACATAGATAGGCGTATGGCACATACACCACTAGAAAAAAAAACTAAAATTAGACAAAAAGATCCTCCACACACATACACACACACACATGTAAGTGTCATCAAACAAAAAAGAGGAAAAAAAAATCCGAGACCAAAAATTCAAGAATCCATAATATTTAGTTGGGTGGAATGGTATATCGAGGCTATAAACTCGTTTCTTTTGTTTGTTTTTTTTTGCAAAGAAAAACACATCATAACTCTACGAAAAAAAGTATACATTCAACACTATATATATATAAATGTGTGTGTGTGTGCGTGTCATTTAGTGGTTAAATGATTAGCTTTTAAGAACAAAAAAAAAATTCGTTTTTATATTCAACAAGTACATATAGGCTTTTTTTTGTGTTTTCATTCAATATACACATTCAGGGATATGAAGACAAAAAAAGAACAACCTGATTAGAGAAAATAAACAATAATAAAGAATGATATACACACATGCGTTCATTCAATCACTGTTATCAACGGTCGGATAGTTATTTTAAAAAATATTTCAAGATGATAAACCAGTTGACGAACCATCTAAAATTCATAATAATAATTATTATATTAACTATTAAATTATTTTCTACCATATGAATTTTGTATATTTGTTGTTGATGTTGTCATTTGTGTTAGATTTGTTTCACATCTTCTCATATCATATTGTGTTTGTTGTTGTGTACAATAAATATTCGATGATGATGATGAACTATCCGATAGATTTAATTGTTGTTGTTGAGGATAATAATGATTTGATAATACACCATTAACTTTAATTTTATAATTATTTGAATGATCAACATATGTTGGCCAAGACTCATGATGATGATAATTATGCATATCATTACCAATCCCATTTGATAATGTTGTATTATTATTATCCATTGTTGATGAAGGTTGATATGAATGAGGAGCAGGAGGAGGGGGAGGAGGTTTTCCACCTAAATAAATAAATCAATTAAAATATTTTTAGTTTATTTTATTTAACTGTTTAAATAAGTGGGATGTGTTGGTGAAATACTGTTTGGATAAGTTAATCGTCCATAATTATTCGTTGATGTTGGTGGTTGTCGATGAAGAATTGGTGAATTTTGTTGTTGTTGTTGTTGTGATATATAATGACCAATAGGATGTCCCATTGTCGATGGTGGTTGCATGAGATTAACAGTAGTTGAAGAAGATTTATACATATAATTATTTAAATTCGTATAATTTTGTTGATCACTACCGTTTTCTAATTTTACACGTTTATGTCTATGATCATCAGTTTTATTATTATCATATGAAAAATTATTTGTTGATGGTGGAGGAACAGTTGATTCAAGAGAATCAATTGGAATTTTAGTTGTTGTTGTTGTTGTTGTTGATGATGATGATGATGATGACATAGATAAATCTTTACCTGTGAAGAGAAAAAAAACAACCACTTTATACTATTTAAAATAATTATTTAAAACATACTGTTCGTTGTTGGAGTAGTTGTTGTTGATGCATTATTATTATTATTATTATTATTGCTATTAACTACAATAGCATTTGATTGTCCAACAATTTCAACACTAAGTATTCCGAGTTCGATGAGGCGTACATTTCCTTGTATAGCAAGTAAATGTAAACGATCGGCTGCCTCTTTCGGAATATCAAAAGTAACTTTAACACTATTCCACGGCTGCACTTTTTTTAATGCAAATTTTCTTCGACCTAAATATGAATAATAAAAATTAAAAAAAAAAATATATAAATTTTTTTTTTCAATACATACCAGTGTGAAGTATTTCTCTTAATTTATCTTTAATTTCATGTAATTTTATTTTTAATTGTGGGTCAAGATAATCAGCTTTACATACAAGTCGAATTTCAACAAAGTCATGTGGTGCCATAGTTTTTTTAACATTGCTGATTGAAAAAAAAACATAACAATCAACAAAATATGTAAACAAAAATGAATCAAGTTCTAATATACCTTAGATTATCGGAAATGAAAAAACATCGATCTAGAATAATAAATATTAAATGTTTATGATTTCTTTCATCACATTTAATTGTATTGGTAATTAGCAAATAATGATTAGCATAAAAGCGAATAAGAATAATTGATGATTGATTAAATGTTGATTGGCTCTTTTGAATAGCCACTGGCCAGAATGAAAAAGTATTCAATTTTAAACCAATTAATTTTCTGTATCTAATTCTCTATACTTGATTGTATTATGAGAAATTGTTTTTAAAAATTTAGAAAAATTATTTATTCTACAAAATTTATATCAAATATCAATAAAAAATGTTTAATTAGCAAGAAATGTATAGTAATTTTGTTTCCTTAGAAATCCGAATTTTTTTTTGTAGATGTCACTAGTAGATTTCATTTTTATGAACAAAGCATATGTTCAAGGTATATCGTATACATCGTGACAAAAAGAACTTTATTATTATACTATTACATTGATTAAAAAAATATTTTTCTTTCATGCAATTATTAGTAGATTCATTTACTACTAAAGACATCTATATAAAATTGTCAAGCAGATGATATATTATCGAAACTAAAAAAAGAAACATCATTATATCATAACCTTGTTAGAAACAGTGACCTAGTCTTATCATTCTATCAACAACACTCAAATGACATTTCTAATGAATAACAGAAGCAAAATATTTTCAGTCTAAAACACATGTGATAGAAGAATGTTTTATTCATTGATAAAATAAATTTAAAAATATTTAATATCAAAATAACCATGAATCAATTGTATAATTGAAGAAGAATCTACTAACAATGTTGTCAGTCATTTGCACTGAAAAAAAAAATCTTTAAGAATTGTAATAAATCGGAAATCCTTTTTAACGAGCTCATGCATAAGTATCAGATACTCAAAACATTGTCCTATATTCTCGATAAGTCTTATGAAGGGTTTCAGATTTATTGTAATACTTGAAACCCTTTTTTTTTAGTTTTGTCTTATGCACGAAACACTCATTAAGTTCTATATCATGTTAATTTTTTTCAATGTAGAATATAATTACATACAATAACATCTATCTATCTTTCGATCATATTTATGAAAAGAAAAGCCCTTAAGGTATATTTTTGTAGCCTTAAAAAATTACTTCTATTATTCGATCAAAATATTTTTATTTACTTTTGAGTATAGAACAATTATTCAAAAGTGTGGATGTCTTTTATTGATTTCTTCATAGTTTTTGTTAGTTTTAAAAAAGTTTTTGATTTATGTATCCTGAAAGTTGAGACTTCTAATCGATAAAAATCTATATTAGATGTACTTATTTTTTGAAAAATGATCCTTTGGTTTCGTTAAGAAAAAATCCTTAGATTCGATCTATTAATCTAAATTAAGTTTTTACTAATCCATTAGTTAAAAATATCAATTTCAGCGATTTAGAAAAAAACGTTCTTTTGTTTGTTCAATATTTCCTTCTTTTTTTTTTAAAACTTGTATTACATAAATGCATAAACAAACAGAAAAAAAAACATCAAGAATGTTTTAACTTCTCATCTTTTATAAATATAGAGCACTCTTAAAATAAATTAATTATAATCAAAGAGTATAAAGAGAACAAAAAAACGACAACATGAAAAACCAGAAAAAGGACTAAGTTTCTTCATTTTTTTTAAATACAAAGAAAAAAAGCCTAAACGAACGAACAAGAAAGTAGACAAAAGAAAACAGAAAGAATTCACTGAAAACAACCGACAGACATATACAGAATGATATCTACATAGATGAGACAAAAAAACAAAGTTTTTATTGTTAGTTTTTTTTCTTCTGCGTTAATAAACTATGAAGAGTTTCAATTATCTCTCTGTTGAAAAAATAAAAATAAAATTCATGCACGAATTCAATAACGATCTATTTGTGATCTAAAAACACAAAAGAAATCGAGTTCTTTTTTATTTATTTATTCTAATATTCTTACTTAGACTTTGCTTTAACACGTTCATCAAAGAAGGAAACTGTTTTATCACTATATGGTGAACCGGCACGAATAACATTTGAATGATGTGATTGTTGCTGTTGTTGTTGTTGATCTATATTAATCGATCGAGCATAATCAGATGCACTACTTAATAGACTTGATTTACGACCAGTAGGATCTCCATTTATATTATAAATATTATCATTATTACATTCAACACCAGGCACTGTACATGCATCTCTATAATATATAAAAACAAAGTAAAATATTATATCTATTCTATACTAAAATTTAATGATAATCTATTCAGATGATCTAAATCATCCATAATCAATATTTATGCAAATATTAGTTTTATTAGTAAATGATTATTACAGAATTACGAACTTACTTAATTGAACCAGCTAATGCTTTAAGACTATCCATTGTTTTAGAAGATTTTTCACTAATTGTAATACTTTCAATATCAAAACTTTTACAATCACTAACTTCAGCTTGAACTTCAAGACTAAATAAATTGAAAAATACATAAAAAAGAAAAGTCTTCATTTTTGATGAATAAAATCCTACCGATTTGACGGTGGTAAACTTTCACAAAGTGATATTGCACCTGTACCAGGTAATGCTTTTGTACTTTCATTACTACGATCATCAACAAGATGTGCAACACTATTTGATAAACTTGTTGAATCACCACCAATTGTTGGATGTGTCATTACACTTTGTGTATCTAGAAAAAAAAACACACACATACATTTTAAATAAATTTTCATTTGATTGATACCATTAAGAATTGCTCTTGCAATAGCAACTTCACGTAAAGAAAATGGTAAAAAATTATCAATATTAGAATTATCACCATCTAAAATATTATTTCGTGTTCCAACACCACAACCACCTGTGCGACATAATGATATTGGAATAACCTAAAACAGTTTAGTTGAGTTTTTTTTGTTAAATTTAAAATAAAAAAAAAGAAAATCTTCTTACTCCATAAACATAAGCCAAAAGAATAGGAACTCCAATTCCAACAGCAAGAGTAGCTATTATTGGTGAAGCTACTATACTTCCTGTAACACCTAATGCTACAAGAAGATTTCGTTTTGTTTTACTATTTCGAGCATTATTAAATTTTTTAAATATTCTTCTGCCAGCCCATATAGGTACACCTACAACGACACCTGGTATAGCAACACCAGCTATTAATGCAATTATGACTGGTGCACCAATTAATGTAGCTACTTGCCAAAGAATAACTTTTTTTCTACTCCATTGTTTTTTACCCCAAAAAGTACAACCCGATGGGCTAAAAGAATAATATAGACGAAATTTAAAAAACAAAATACAATAATTATATTAACCTAAGATAATGTAAATCAGATATTTCTCGACCACATAACCAACAAAATTCAGCTTCACATATAGGACATGTCATATGATTCTAAAACAAAAATGATATGAATTTCAGAAAACACGAATCTTATGAAAACATACACAAGAACCATCGTCCATTTTAAGTATCGATGCTTGACATCTCGGACATTGTTTTATTTCATCTTCTAGAAAACAGAATAATGGTCATTTTCTTTTATGTTTATAAATAATTAAAAACATACTTTGTTGAGCAGAAGCAAGACTAATAAATGAACCTGAACGAAGCTTAGTTGATGTTTTTTCACGTGCTGCATCTTCACATGCTTTATTTGGATGCCATGTTGCTTTACAATGATAACAAAATGATGTATTACATCCCGGTCTTAAACATTGAATTTCTGGACATGATGCATAACCTGAAGCTATAAGAGCAAATCCACAATCAGGTGCTGGACACCAACGTGTATCAGATATAGATTGTAAAACACGTCGAACCATAAATTGTTCATATTTTGAAATAAGATCAGGATGATTTTCTAATATTCGTGTTATATCACATGGATGCATACGTTCTGGACAATCATTATGTGGACAATTAAGTGTGATACGGCCTTCACTTATTTCTAATTTTAAATAACTTTTTAAACACGTTCGACAATATGAATGTGAACATAATGTTAAATGTTCAAATTGTTCAGATGAATAATCATGATAACATAATAGACAAGTTTCAAGTAAATGATCATTTGAAATGGTTGTTGTTGTTGTTGTTTGCGATGGAAGTATATTAATAACATGTTCATTGGCTGATGCAACAATTGATTCAATAAATTCATCTTTTATTGGTATTATAGAACTTTTATCGTGTACTGATGGTGAGGATGATGATGTTAAAATATAATTTTGTTGTTTTGAAGTTTGACAAGAATTATTTGTTGTAGATGTATTATGTTGATGTGAAAAACGATTTGCTGTTGTTGATGGACGACCAGCAGTAAAACGAAGAAAATTAAGAAAACGTCGACGTATACTACCATTGCCATTATTTGATGTTGTATGTGAATTTGAAGATTCTTAACAAAGTAAAAAAAAACAAAGATTATGTAACATTTCATATTTTATTTATTTTTCTTATTATAGACTATAACTGAAATAGATTATTAAAAAAAAAATGAAATAAATTTTAAATAAGTTAAATTACGCATTTGTTCTTGTTTTTTCTTTGATTTCGCACTTTGAGTTGTAACTTGTATAGATGTATTTGTTGTAGATGGAAAAACAAAATTTGAATTTGTTGTTGATGATATTGGGATTGTTACTATTGATGATTGGTCTTTGGTTAATGTAATGGATGAATCATTATTAACTGTACGTTTTAATGACGAACGTTTAGTAATAGATGATGACTGTTGATTACGTTTTTTTGAAAGCATTATTCAATAATAATAATAATAATAATAACTAAACACAAGAAAAAAAGTGTATATATTATTTTTAATTCATTTTTAATTTTAATATTTCTTTCACATATTTAAATATAAGATTTTTTAAGGATTTTTTTTTTTTCGATAGATCAATAAAAAGAAAGGAAGTACTTATATTAACGTAACTGAAAAAATTGTATTACTCTAAATCAATATTTGTAAAACAGAATGAGACACAAATTCAATCGATAGAAACCAGATAAACATGTGATATTTTATTGTTTTATAACAACTAAAAAGAAATACATAGTCAATAGTTACTTTAGTGGTTAATTGTTATTTTTTTGACGTCATTGTTGACAACAAAGAAAAAACTAATTGTATTTTTCATATTTCTGTAAGAACTGACATAATGATGTACCCATGAAAAAAGAACAAAGTACAAATCTGGAAAATAAAGAATCGTACACATCAATAATATTTGTCTACGCTTTCATTCTCTTTTGTTTTTCAATCCGTAGAGTGTACGAAGAGCATGCGATCTTATTTATTACATTGTCTTCTCTATTTTAATTCGAATAATTCAATATCAAGTGTGGAATAGATGAGTAAGGTCATGTTGCATAGAAGAACAAAAAAAAAAACGAGCGTTACAACTTATTTTGTTTTCAAACAATAGCAACGTTTGTGTTGTTATTTTTTGTTGTTGTTTTTTTTCATCGAGTATGGAATAACCAATGAAAAATGACTTTGTTTTTCATTGGCATGAAGCAAATAACCAATGATATAGAATGAAATCTTGAGTTTTTTGTTCGAGAAAATATTCAATTCGAATCGATTTAATATTTTAGAAATCAATAGAAGAAAACGAAAATAAAATAATGCTCGGTTGTTGTATACCTCGTGATCCATCGAAACAAACAAATAAATTGATAAATGAAGCATTAGAACGTGATCGAAAAGAAATGAATTCGGAATCAAAATTACTTTTACTTGGTAATTAAATCATTTTTTTTTTCTTATGAAATTTAATCAATATGAAAAAGAATATGATCGTTGTTTTAGTTTATAAATTTTCCAAAAATATATACTATAATAAGTATGTCTTGCTTAATAGATAATTAAACACTTGACTTCTTCGCTTTAATTTGAATTAATTTCTTTTTGTATCAAAATTATTGTATGTTTTTTTTTTGATTATTATTGATCTATTTTTAGGTGCTGGAGAATCTGGAAAGAGTACAGTTGTAAAACAAATGAAGTAAGTATTCAAACTTACATATTAGATATTACTGTCTAGATTGATCTCGGAGCCGATGAGCTCTATTTCAGATCTTTGCATGGATTCAATTAGTCAAATTTGAACCCAATCCAAAATATTTCATATGTCTATTTATATGGAATTAGGTATTCTATATAAAGAATACAATTTAATAGAAGTTGAAAATTGTCATACAGATACGAAATACATATTAAAATGATATCAAAAGTTTTGTATTATGTATTTGTGAAAGGATTTCAAAGCTTATTGTTCGTATCTATAAAATTATTAGAGATTTTTTAAAATTAAAGTAGATTGTTGTTTGAACGTAATATTATAGAGTAGGAAGATTTTAGGCGTTACGGCTTATGACAATACTGTTGGGTTCTTGTATAAAAGCCTTTAAAAATGGGAATTATTAACTCACGATTTAAAAGTTATGGTATGATTGTTATAATATATGCATTGTAGAATGAAACTCAATTTTATATTCTCATCCAAGAATGTATCTAAAAGAAAGTGAAATTGTAATGAACTTTTAGTATTATATGAAGCGATATCTCCTTTGAAATGTTGTAATTATTTTCAAGAGTTTCGATGCAATGATATGTTTAGATTATAATAGCTTTCTTCATATTTTAGGAAAAAATGATAAGCTATGAATAGCTTTAGAACTGTTGATATTACTTTTATTGCGTATTTAGATACAGAAACGTTCCGATATGATTCCCTCATTGATTTACCAAAGCATGCACAACCCTCAAAAAAATGGTCAACTGTAACAAAAAGTTTCCCATCCACTTTTCTGAGTCATCAACCCTCTTCCCAATTCTGACAATTCCAGGACACTTGTTAATAGAGAATATGAATCGATAATTTTTTTTACATATTGAATTTATTCAGAGAAGGTCCGACCCGATAAACTCGCACACGGATCAGGTCAAGCTACAAGACCCTATTGTTATATAAAAAACAAGATTGATTTCATTTCCATAGTTCTCTTCTCAAACTTATACATTATTAATGAAATTATCATATATATGAATCCAATAGTTTTTGTGCCTAAATATAACATCATTATAGGATAATAAGTATTTCTATTGAATCTGGATTCGTATATAATATCTTCAAATAGTTTTGACAGTCATATTCAATTATACAAAATAATTTACTTTTCTTATAGAATAATTTTTAATGAAAATGGTTATACTAAAGAAGAATGTCTTCGTTTTAAACCAGTTATTTTTTCTAATACAATTCAATCTATGTTAGCTATATTACATGCAATGAATCGACTACAAATTTCATTTGAAAATATAAATCGAAAAGTATAAAGATCTTTAATTAATAATAGATTTAAAAAATTATAAATTGATTCTTACGTTTTTAGAAAGATGCTGAAATTGTACTCAGTCATGCTGAAATTGAAAGTAATCATGAAATTTTATCTGAATTTGTTGGTAAAGCTATACAAACATTATGGAATGATGCTGGTGTACAAGCATGTTTTTTACGTTCTCGTGAATATCAATTAAATGATTCAGCTGCCTAGTAGGATAATTTATATCTTTGTTTTTATGTAATACGATATTTTTTTCTTATTTTTTGGATAGTTATTTAAATTCACTTGATAGACTTATTCAATCTGATTATATTCCAACTCAACAAGATGTTTTACATACACGTGTTAAAACTACTGGTATTGTTGAAACAACATTTACATTAAAGAAACATAAATTTCGGTATGAATTAATCATTTGAATTTTAGTATAAAGACTATAATCAATAATATTTATTTAGAATTGTTGATGTTGGTGGTCAAAGAAGTGAAAGAAAAAAATGGATACATTGTTTCGAAGGTGTAACAGCTGTTATATTTGTTAGTGCTCTTAATGAATATGATCTTGTCTTAGCTGAAGATGATAGTATTGTATGTTATTATAATTTATTTTGGTTTATTCGTTTAATTTTGCTTTTGTTTTTATTTTAGAACCGTATGATTGAAAGTTTACAATTATTTAAATCGATTTGTAATAATCGATTTTTTCGTCAAGCTGGAATGATATTATTTTTAAATAAAAAAGATTTATTCGCCGAAAAATTACGTTTTTCATCTATTAAAATATGTTTTCCTGAGTATACGGGTTAGTTTAAAATATTTCAATTAAGAAAAAAATTTTTTTTTTTTTTTTGATTTGTTTTACATTTAGGTCTTAATACATATGAACCATCACTTAATTATATTCAAGAACAATTTGAAAAAATGGATTTACGAGAAAAAATAAATGGTCATCAAAGAGAATTATATACACATATCACATGTGCAACAGATACCGAAGCAATGCAATTTGTCTTTGATGCTATATCAGATATGATTATACAAACAAATCTGATTCATGCTGGAATATTTTAATAATAAAAGTTATCTTTTATTGATATATGTATATAAATATATAACATTGTAATGAAAATTTTGTGCAATTAAGTAGTGAAATATTTGCTCAAAAATTATTAATGAAACATCTTATGTTCTATTTATATATATCTTTTTTTTTTTCTGTCGTTATTTTGAAAATAAGAATAAAATATAATGCTGCGATTAGTATACGTTATGAAATAATGTTTAAAATAGATTGATTTAGATTAGTCAGACATGCAGTGAAAAACAAAATAATGTCTTTTCGTTTTAATCAGTTATAGACAAGAATGATGTCGATGACTACTATTTGTAACACAAGGTGGTAGTTTTGGCTTGGGCAAAAAATGCTATAACCACTTGTAACATTGAAGAACTAGACAATGAAACAGTATAAATCGTCACTTTTGATCTTGTCTGTAGGCCATAAGACAAGAATATTGAAGTAATATAGATACTTGCATTTATTTTTCAATTAAGTGTACAGAAGGCCATTTAATGAAATAGATTTGGAGTAGTAGAAAACCACATCATCATCAACATTCACATACTTAAATGTTACCAATAAGTTTCGCCTACTAAAGTCTAGATTGTCGTGCCTAAATCAATTGTTGATTATTCATTGGTAAATCTTAAGAATAAAATGACAGATTTCAAAGTTTACATGACTCACAAACCAAAAAATCTTACTATGAAACGTTCTACGCAATTTTCCCACTTGATCGTCATCCAACAAAAAACAATATTTTATTAAAGAAAAAGAATTGTTAGATGTAATAAACAACAATTCAATGCCATCATTTTTTTTTCATTGAGATTTATTTGGTTTCAACAAACAAACGACTCCAATCGAACACAAAGAAAAACAAAATTCAAGCTCTTTTGACGGCTTCCTGCCAGTACAAAAGAACCTTGCACAAAATCAGGTAATGTTCACCATACTGGCTCTCAAACACGACTATTTTTTTTGTAAACTTTGTTATAATTAGACAAAACGAGATCTCTCAAGACCAAAATCGCAAGTGTGATAGACACTCGTATACGACTTCATGCGTCATCAATCATATTAATAGAAATTCTTTTACAATGAGAAAAGTGTGATATTATCTTTTTCATAAGTCTCTCGTTCATCACCCATAAAGACAACCATTTTCTGGCATATTTACTTGCGTACGGTTTTTTAAGATCATGTTTTGATCTGGAGATTTTTTCTAACAATATCCCTCGAAAATTAGTATCTGACCTTGCCTGGATCTAAAAACATTCGGCTATTGTAAACAAATATTTCATATGTGTGTGCAGCATTTTTTTGAATAACCAGCGAAAAATTTTGGTGCCTTGTTTTCTTCCACAATCACAAAAGTAAGGTTAGGATTCAGTCTGAAGTTCTTCGAGTATTTAGTGATCCAAAATCACTCATTCTCTGCGCACAATAAAAGAAAGAACACATCGCTTTGTCAATAGAAATAGTACACAATAATAATAGCAGCGGGGTGGAAATTTTATGAGAAAAGAATTTGTTAAATTGTTTCAAATGAAACTCGCTTCTTTTCATCTTTCACGATTACGACTACGTCCTAGTTGCATTCAAACTTATGAAATATTTTCTTTTTCCTTTAGAATTGTACATGATCATTGTCGAAAAAGCATCTTTTTTTTCAACATTCTTCACCGATCATCACTAAGTTTATGTATGCAAACATTAGCAATTTCACGATTTCTACTATTAGTATTTTTGGTTTTATTATCCATTCTATTCATTTGGATTTATCAATCATGCCCACAGCCAACTCATTCCTTTGTTAGTAATGATTGTCAAAAATCTCTCACTGAAAGCGATGGATTTATATGTGAACCGAATTCCGTCTGGAATGAACGCAAACATGTCTTTCATACTCAGAACAAAGAGAATATGATTAAACTTCCGGATACATTCTATTTTTTAACGAATTGGGAACCAAATTTTCATTGTTCTCATGCACGACGTATTGGTGCTCGGGGTGACGGTGGCAAATGGGTCTGTGATCCGTATCGATTGAAATTACGTCACGATTGTTTAATTTACAGTGTTGGATCCAGTGGCGATTTTTCATTTGAAATCGAGATAAAAAAAGTCATACCTCATTGTGAAATTCATGCATTTGATCAAAACCCATACCTATGCCCGACGAATATATGTAGCTTTCATCAGGTTACATTTGGCGATGGAATTCAGCCAAATAGCTCAAAGAGTTGGCTAACTGTTGTTGAAGCGCTGAATCATACGAATCGATTGATTGATATATTGAAAATTGATATTGAAGGTGGTGAATATTCATTTTTTCCTCGTCTACTGAACTCGAGTAAGAGTTCGTTGCCGCGACAAATTCTTGTTGAACTTCATCCGATAAATGTTAGTATTATTCATGACTTCTTCGATCGATTGCATAATAGCAATTATGTTATCTACAGCAAAGAAAACAATCTTATAGCTGGTCCATATTTTTTTGAATATGCTTTTCTAAAATTAAATTCACTTTTTTTCATTCCTCCTCACGACAATATGACACATAGATAAATATTATAAATATGACTTCTCCTCTTCTGTTATGAAAATGTATGAGAAAAAAGCTAGAAAAAAAATTGGACGTTGCAATTATTCAGTGTTCAGTAACTTTTGAAATAAAGAAATAGCAGTCCATATTGTAGATTATATTTTGCGAATACGTTTATGTCAAGGAATTTCACCTTTTCCCTACTTTGTATCATCTATTTCTCGTTAATGGAAAATAGTGAATTCTTCGAAACTTTTATTATTAATAGAGATGATTGAAATCTATTATCAGTAAAAATTTCATTGATTTTCTTTTAGTTCGAGTTGATCTATTCGAAAACTAGAAATTTTTTAACAGAACTGGAAGTTTTGCTTTTCACGGAAAAACGATGCGATAGAGAAATTAACTTTTTGTATAAAAGTTGTTCAGTTTTTAAGAAGTATAACTGCATCGAATAACAAACTAAGAGTAATGTTCCTGACGGAAGTTCATTCTTTTCTCGAAAATCGTTGTTAAAAAAAGAATGGAAGCAAAAAAAGTCAGAAGAACTCAAATATTCATCATGCACATTGGTTTCTGTACTGAATGATGTATTTTTACTAAAATCTAAAAAAAAACATTTGTCAACGTTTTCGACTCGAGAAATTTTCTATAAACATAAAAGTTGAAGTTTTGATTAACGTGAAACGTCATTTTATTAAGAATTTGTTTTGTAATTTTCAATAGAGATGGATCATTTTAGTTAACGACACTTAGTTAAAAACATTCATTAAATAACATTAAGTAAAATATCCCACACCTAAATTTCGTTAAACACTATGCAAACAGCTGTTAACTAGGGTTTATTTCATAAAAGACTAAAAAGGTTTAAAAGCACATATTAAAGTAGAAGTTACTGCGACAGTTATAACTTTGGATCAAGAGAAAAAAAAATTTTCTTGTATACTTCCACCATTAGGACCTCAACTAACGGATAGTCAAGTTGAAGTCGTTGGTTTTGAAAAACTTTAACAGAACTCCATTATCCGTTATCGTTAAGTATGTGATAGCACTATTTCAACTCCTTAAAGTCTATCCTGGTCATCAGTTCAACTCTCATGAGATAAAACTAGCCATCAGTTCGTCGATTCAGAGTTGAAGTTAGGCCATGCAGCTTTTTCCTACAAACTACCCTACAGCTTATTTAGAGATCGTATAGGGATGATGAGCAGATTGAAGCTTTTACTATGAACTGACTAGTTTTAAACGAATCATCGATGATCTTACTTATACATTACTACTTATAAATATCAGTAGTCAATATGTGGTTGATATAAACTGCATAAAAATCGATTACTACTTAGTATTTAATTCAAGTGCTGTTATGCAACAGGTCATTCGACATTCGTTGATTATGTAATTAAGTGATAAGCGTGATATAAGTGCTAGGGTTTTGTTTTTAGATAATAAGCATTCCATATGCTTTCTAGGTGTAGACGTGGTTGAAATTACTGTCTTCCTCGACACCTACGCGTACATTCAAGCATGCATCCATACTCTGTATGATTTGTTATGATTTTTCGATAAATACAAATTACTAGAATAATTACAAATTCGAACAAACAATTGATAAATAGATGGAAAATGAGAGATGCAGACCAAGGAGTCGGAGAATAATCATTTCAAAGAAAGAAAAGAATATTTTTCAATTCGTGGACAAGAAAAAGCAAAAGACGAGTAAGGATGATATGATTTATACAGTGTACGGCGAAGTGTTCGAACCGAGAAAAAATGGTAAAATGTAAATAGAGTTATCACAATTGAAAATATGTCAAAATTGAGAAAATACCAGTATCGAATATAAGGAGAAATTCTGAATCCCAATGAAGAATCTGAATTCAGAACTATAGAGCTATTGCTTGACTTTGATATTGGTACAGAAAAAGTTGGGAAAAACAAGCAAGACTGATGTAGATAAACATGTAAGTTTCAATTATTTAAATTAACGTGGCGAGTTAATCCTCATCACAACATACTTCTTCTTAAAGGAAAGTATATATATTTAGCTAAGCAAATATGAGACGATGTGCTTATCAATAAGATTACTTGTCAGATTTAATTTTTTCATAGTTTTGAATGTGACAATCCCAAATGCAATATTAGTAGCGTAGGCTACGAGAAGGCTGAACTTCCTTTCACAACTGTTTTTTGATTATGAATGAACAACATACTAAGGGTGTAGGTGGGTGTGATTATAGGTGAAGGTGTAGGTTCGGGTCCTCTCTTCGACGAAACCTACATCCATATCCACACACCAACACTTTTTTCATTCTTAGCTCAATGTACTTTTAATTGGTTAAAGCTTGATAATTGTTCTCTTCTTACTGTTTCCTTCAATATTGTCTATACACTTTCAGTGGACCACACGACAGCAAATTTACCACCAGTGTCTTGAAGTAAAACTCGACTGTCAAATAGTTTATCAATCGTTCAAAATAGAATCTTTTTTTTACGCGACGTTCTCATATATTATCATGCATTTGAATTCAGTTACTGAATAAATAGCTTGATTGAGTGTGTAACTAGAAATCATGTTCATCGATTGTAAGAAATTCTATCGTCTCATTCTCATTTTTATATTTAATTATTACAAAAGAAGATATTATCCAATGATTGACACCAGTATTCAAGTTTAATATAAAAATATTTGGTTAGAAGTTATTCTTTGTCTAAAAATAGATTTAATTTATCGCGTTTTCAAGACTTATGAAGCATCCAAAAGATGTATACAATGAAATTATCATTGTACCATAAAACTACTCAAGAAAACTTTTTGTTTGGAAAAAATTTTATTTTGAAATCAAACAAAAATTTTAATGCACATTATTTAGTGCGGTCGTCGAGAAGTTATTGTGATCATAGTTGCAGGATTTACTCTTCGTTGTCTCATTTTAAATATATTATGTATTTGTGGTGTAATAAATCCAAAACTAATAGATCCAATAATAAATCCACCTGATATACTCAATCCTTGTAAATGATAAGCTATTGAAATCAAATAATTAGTAATAATATAGTTCATCAATGTAAATACTGTGGCTATACCAATGCCCATTGCAACCAGTACAACAATAAGAATGCGTTTAAGAACAAGTATGTCTCGTCTATTAAGAATTTGTCGTTGCTGTTGAATATGAATTGTTTGACGAGTATATCGGATGATATAAGCATATATTAGACATACGCTTGATATCGGACCAACATACATGATAAGTAAAGCTTGAAAAAGTGCACGAATATTTTTAAAAGAAATCCAACAACTATGTGCAAAAGATGAATATTCAAAATCTTTTGTAAGAAAATGAATAAGAATATAAAGAAAAGAAATCAGCCATTGAATAATTATTCCAATAAAGAAAAGATGATGTGATTGTAATCTCTTCTGTTTATAGAAGACTATTCGAAATAATCGAAGAATAGCTTGAAGAACACATGAATAATAAAATGCACATATAAAAACATGAATAAAATAGCCATGTAATTGACATAAATAATTATTACATGAATCTGAAGCATATATATCACCATATATACTATAACTATATATGATGACCATCATCAAAGCTCCAAAAAGTAAAGTAAGGTATGTATTGCATGTAAGTAGAACTGGAACATTTGATATTAATGGATGAATACGCTTGTAGACGATGACAAGAATGAAAATAGAAATAAGAAAAGACATACACGATAAAGTCAAAATAATGCTATTAAGAAATAATTCGACGTTGAAGGTCATAAATGAATTAATTAATATGACTAAATATGTACAATGTGTCATTAATAAACAGAATGACTCAAAAGTACGGAAACACCAAATTCTTTTCAATTTTTTCTTAACAGACCGATAGTTGGATCTCATATTTTGACCACACATACGAGATGATAATATTCAGAAAAGCAGCCTATCGTTAGTGTTTGCCCTTAAGATTTTATGGGAAAATGCTCGAATGTTCTGTTATACTCCATCTTTTTCTAGTTTTCTGTGCAAGAAGTCTAAAATAACATAAGAATCAATAGAATTTATATCATCGAGTAGATTTTTGTGCAAACAGACAGAATGATACAAAAAAATACCACAGGAGAAGAATACATCTTTGCAATGATCACATTAGAGTACAAAAAGAAAAAATCTTATGTTTTTCAAAAAAAAAATCTTAAGGGCAAAAAGACTGACAATAGGCTGCTATTCTGAATATTAACGTATATTATACGTGGTTCAAATTATAAGATGTAACTATCAATCTATTAAGAAAGAATTGACAAGAATTTGGTATTCTCTTGCTTTGTTTCTTTACTTTTGAGTCACCCTGTATTGACTAAAACTCGAAATATTTATTTACTTTATTTTTACGAATATAAATATAACAAATATGAAAAACGACATCGATTTGTATTTACGACTTTATTTATTTGTTGAAGTAAATACTCAGTTTATTTATGGATATCTCAAGTCAACCGTTACGGATCACCTTAACTTCACTATCCCAGTCAGACAAACCAAGTAAAAAAACGCGTTGAAGTTTTGACAAATATTAAAACGCCAAAAGCATACATTTTTATGATTGCCTTTTCGTTCAAGAAACTTAATACGTTTGATTTCTCAACTGAGTCAACTGTTAGAGATTATACTTTTATTTAGATTTCATTGACTGGAAAAATAGTTTAGATGAGTTCTTAGTTAGTATAATCTTGTTAATTGTAATAACTAAGAAAACATTCTAACTATTTCTTCAATAAACTAAGTCTAAGAATGGTACAGCCCATCAAGTTCGGACCCAGCAATATTTTGAACCTGATGAGCTCTAATGGATAGGACTATTTTCTCAACTCAAAAGTCACACCCCCAATAACAAGTGAAACTGTACGATAAAAACTATTCAAACCACAGAAATTCCATATAACAATGCGTAAGAGTAACATATTTATAAAAAATGCTTGATTAAGTTTGACGTTCATTTTTTTGTGTTTTTCGCATATTGTAGGATGATTTTTAGTAAATTATTTTCTTATTAATAATAGCAGTTTATTTTAATAGATTTTCGATAATAATATAGACATTACTTTTTAAGTAAATATCCTCAATCAAATGGAAAAATATAAAAAATTGAACTGAGTTAGAAATTTATAAAACACTGTATATAATAATAATCAGAACTTATTAAAAATATTTAACTAATGCTATTCGCTTCTTTCTAATCTCTACTGAAATAAACAGAAAAACTAAACAACAGAAATTTTCTTTTTTTCTTCTAAAGAATAAATAGCACGATGAAAGACTGACATGACGGCTAACGTTTGATCCTTTCACATATTTCTATGTTGCCTCTGGTAGAGTCAAATATTTCACTGGAAGCACTAAAATTTCAAGACTAACCTAAACTGATTCGCTCGTGTGGAAGTACTAATCTACTAATGATATCAGATCTTAATAGACTATACGACCGAAAAATGCAATAAAATAATAAAAACCACGCTATATGTACTGGATAGAAATGAAAAAGCTGCAAAGAAAGAATCAGTGATTAATATGAGAGAGAAGGAGCATTAACACTATTGTTTAACAAATATACGACTGAATGGGAGAATCTTGGAACTGAACGAGATAGTTAACTGAAATAATACAAATATAAAAAACATTAAACTGATAATAATTGAAAAGAAAGAACGAAAGATGCATGTCAATGTGTTCATCAACTGTTGGATCACGTAAATTACTTTTGGCGAACTTGGAGTGTTTTCTTAGAATGAAGACCAACTAAAGATCAAAATTATTCTCAACTAAGATACTCTGTGCAGTATATTCTTCTAAAGAGATGACGGCTCAAGAAAACGGAAACATGTTGTCAAAAGAGATCAGAGAAAAAAGTACTCATAAAAGCGTGAATTTTTATTTCAATGTCTCCATAATGAAATTATATTTTTTTCTGCTTGACAAAGTGGAAAATGTTATTTTTCATATTTTGTAAATGTGT